AATTTTACCAGCAGTTGCTGTACAGTTGCTCGGTCAGTGTTTGGGGTTGTTGTCCCCTGTCGGCGCTTATTGAAGGGGGATGGGGTGGGGTGGGGGGCTGGGCGGTGGGTTGGCTACAACATGAAATTCCAGGGCAACAAAATGAAGTACAGAAAAAGGTGAACATTTTTATCCTGCCTTTCATTATCACTGTTACATGACAATGCACACAAACCACATTGGGACCCATTTTTCCCGGTGTTCTATCAGAACACCTAGCTTGTAGCTAACATTAATATCAGATTCTGCCAACGAAACGGAAAACAATTCATATGTAAATGTTTTGCATATTTATTGCAAAATCTAATTTTTCTGCTGCTTCAGTGGTGCAACAGCGTTATATCAATAAGAAATGACTATACCTTGTGTTTTACTACAGCGTTGTTAAAGCTTCAGATCACTAAGAATGCGTCATTTCAGCTGTGAGATTAGTCGATGGGATCAATGAAAAAGAACGTTTGTCACTGACTCCATGGAAACGTTAAGAGAATTTACAAAAAGTGGCTTCCAATTGGTTTTGTGACTGGCATATTTTTGTGAGTTTAGAAAAGAAGCAGATGAGACAACGTGTCCGACAATTCTGTTTTTCATCTGACAATATTAGTACATGTCCGTAATGCCTGAGGTGTTTTTACAAACAATACTTAATACTCCTGGACAGGGTATGAATTGCACAGAGGCTTGTGGGGGAGCCCAGTTATAGGGGGGATGGGGGGGGTTCTGTTTGGCCTTGGCCCCCAAAATGCCTTGAAACGGCCCTGGGTGTGTGACAGAGTTTTGAAGGTGATCTGAATTGTATCAGATGTATAAATATGACATGTGTATAACTTATTGTTTTAGACTGGTAAAAAGGTTTAGTGGAGATAAATCTACCTACATTTTACTTTTCAAACATTTTTCTTTGTTTTCTTGTTTTTATCTAACAATTTTCCTGCCCTGTCTGTCTCTCATCTTCCTGCATGTTCTCTAAACTCTCCAGAAAAACTGCTGCTTGGATTCTTACTTTTTTACCTTATAAGTTACTTTTGAGCAGATCAAAGGGATCTCCTGACCGCAAAGCAGAGCGCACATTTCGATGCTGCATCAGTGAGGTGAAATCAGCACAGCACATGAGCGAGTGCATCAGGCACGATTAAAAGACAGTACCAGAGGATATAAACTGACATGAACGGTCATGTGTTAATTATAGTTTTTGGGTTGCGCCACTTTGAGAATGTGCCGTGCGCAGAACGCAGCTGCCTGGAGCGCTCCCCGATAATTTGATCCCTGCTTCTGGATGAAAAACCGGACATTATCATGAATACAAGAACCAACCTCCCCACCCCACCCCTCCGGACAGAGAGTGAAAAGTTGACATGTACGGCCTCCTGGTTTGATGCCAGCTCCGGCTTTCTCCTCGCAGTTTATGGAAGATTTCAACACGAAACGGGAGACTGCCTTAAATGCGAGACAGAGCTGGTCATGCTACTCTCCAGGCCAGCGCATGTTGGCACGGTGCGCACGCGAGGTGTGGGGTGGTGGTGGTGTGGGTGCGTTCAGGATTTGGGGTTGCTGAGCAGTTGCTTGGCCCAATCTTGGGGTTGTTTAGCAACCCCTAGCTACCGCCTGGTGCCGCCCATGTTTGCAGGAAATATCTAGAAGAAAGTTCTACAGAAAGTAGCTAAGGGTCCTCAGAAATGTACCTAGGTTTGTCACTAGGCGTTAGGAACAGCGACAAAGTCGCTGAGTTGGCACAAATGCTACGGGCTATGCCTGAGCGTGAACGCGCATGAAGCAGCCTGCTCGACCCTTTTTCTGTGATTTTAGAGAAAAACAGGCAATCACAGTAAAAATGCCAGGGCTCATTCTACAGGACCAGGGCATTGCAGGAGAATGTATGAAGAAGACATTTATTATTTCTATACATGTTTTGGCTGTCAAACTTCCATAATGTCTCTTTAATAGAGCCATGCTGAGTGAGGTGGAGGAATCAGAAACAGCTGGAGTTAGTGGACATAAATTAGCAGGGTTAGATCCACGGTGTTTATAAAACCACTTATGGAGGGAACAGGAGGAGAAACCACTGAGGAATGAGGATAAACCGACCTTAAAAACTTGGACGGATGAACCGTGCCGCAACACGGCCCGGTGGGAATGGGGAAGTGGCGCTCAAGTCGCCAAACAAAGGAAAAGAAGCTAGAGATCACACCGATGTTTACCAGATAAACCACGCTTTAGGAGAAGTCTTATTCTCACCTGGATTCCTGCTCGTTTACCTCTTTTCCTTCGACGTTTTCCCGGGACCAGATAAACATCGCTGGAGGCGCCCTGGATGGAATCGTCGTTTGGCTCCGGGCCAGTGCGCCACTCAGATAAACAAACAGGGAGGTACGTCCTCGGTGCATCTTGGGCGATCGTGAACAAACGGAGTCTGGCGATCATAGGAGATGGTAGCAGGGACACTACTGAAGAGGACCGCAGACAGGAGCAAGGTGGAAAATAGGAGGTTAGCGGAGAAAAGTTTGAAAAAGTGGCTGGTGACTGCAGCTAAGCCAAGCACAGGCGCCATCTTGTTACCGACCGGAAGCGGAAGAGGAAATCTGGATTTATCCCAGCTGAGCTGATATCATTAGGGAGGCTTACCTGGCAAACCTGGGGTTTTCTGACATGAGGTAAAAGACGGTTGGTTTTATGTTAAGTTGGAAAGAGTTTCTAAACCATCCAGAAACCAGGTGTGGTGGTCTGAAACCCAGAAGAGGCCTAAGCATGAGTTTTTTCTCATGGAAGGCAGTCTCCAGACAACATTTTAACATGTCCTAATGCTCCTGCTGAAGTCCTTTGAGGTCTGATGAGACTGAATTTTGAACTGTTGATGCACCAATTCTGCTTTTGGAGGCCGATGTGGATTTCTGTTTCCTGTGCAGCTCTGACATGATAAAACTGATTTCAACCCATTCTGATTTATCCCAAAGAACTATAAATAGCCTCATACAATTAAAAAATATTTACTTGAATATTATGATTCTGGAAGTAAAAAAAGTCTAAATTGAAGCTCTGATTTAGCTCAGGTGAATTAAAGTTTAGCAATGGTGCATTTTATGGACCTAAACCCATCAGATTTTTGGGTTTTGCACCAGACGATCACAGTGAATATTAGCAGATTCTGATCAGCAGATGGTTTGGGGATTGTTGTTTGTTTACTGCATCTCTAATCCCTGTTGAAGCTGAGTAGAGCCTGGGTGATCCGCTTCCAAAGAAGAACTGTCATTTTACATTCAGGGTTGCCAGTCTTGGTGGCAACCCCCGTACCCGTTGGTGGACACCAGATGTTCGGGGAGCCGTCAGGCTGAAGGAGGCCTACAGGGCGTGGCTGGTCTGTGGGTCTCCGGAGGCAGCAGACAGGTACCGGATAGCCAAGCGGGGTGCAGCAGTGGCAGTTGCCAAGGCAAAATCTCGGGCGTGGGAGGAGTTTGGTGAGGCCATGGAGAAAGACTATCGATCGGCTCCAAAGAGGTTCTGGCAAACTGTCCGGTGCCTCAGGAGAGGAAGGCAGCAACTCATTCACACTGTTTACAGTGGGGATGGGGAGCTGCTGACGTCAACTGGGGCTATAGTCGGACGGTGGAAGGAATACTTTGAGGAGCTCCTCAATCCCACCTATGCACTTTCCGAGGAGGAACCAGAGCCAGGAGACCTGGGGATGGACTGTCCAATCTCGGGGGCAGAAGTTGCTGAGGTAGTCAAACAACTATACAGCGGCGGAGCCCCGGGGGCGGATGAGGTTCTTCCTGGGTATCTCAAGGCTCTGGATGTTGTAGGGCTGTCATGGTTGACACGTCTCTGCAACATTGCGTGGTCATCAGGGGCAGTTCCTGTGGAGGGGCAGTTCCTGTGGAGTGGCAGACCAGGGTGGTGGTCCCCATCTTTAAGAAGGGGGACCTGAAGGTGTGTTCCAACTATAGGGGGATCACACTCCTCAGCCTCCTTGGAAAGGTCTACTCCAAGGTACTGGAGAGGAGGGTCCGATCGATAGTTGAATCTCAGATAGAGGAGGAGCAATGTGGTTTTCGTCCTGGCCGTGGAACTGTGGAGCAGCTCTATACCCTTGCAAGGGTGATGGAGGGGGCATGGGAGTTTGCCCAACCAATCCACATGTGTTTTGTGGATTTGGAGAAGGCTTATGACCGTGTCCCCAGGGGCACCCTGTGGGGGACGCTCCAGGAGTATGGGGTGGGTGGCTTTCTGTTAAGGGCCATTCAGTCCCTTTACCAGAGGAGCGTGAGTTTGGTCCGCATAGCCGGTAGTAAGTCGGACCTGTTCCCGGTGAGGGTTGGACTCCGCCAGGGCTGCCCTTTGTCACCGGTTCTGTTCATTACCTTTATGGACAGAATTTCTAGGCACAGCCGTGGTGTGGAGTGTGTCGAGTTTGGTGGCAGGAGAGTCTCGTCTCTGCTTTTTGCGGATGATGTGGTCCTCCTAGCTTCATCCAGCTCTGACCTTCAGCTCTTGCTGGGTAGGTTCGCGGCCGAGTGTGAAGCGGCTGGGATGAGGATCAGCACGTCCAAATCTGAGACCATGGTTCTCGACCGGAAAAGGGTGGCTTGCCAACTCCGGGTCGGGGGAGAGGTCCTACCTCAAGTGGAGGAGTTTAAGTATCTCGGGGTCTTGTTCACGAGTGAGGGTAGGAGGGATCGGGAGATCGACAGGCGGATTGGTTCAGCATCTGCATCCCTAGTTGGGATGCTGCCCCCCGCGACCCGGACCCGGATAAGCGGAGGAAGACTGATACGGACGGTTGCCCTGCCAGGCCACATTTTAACTGTAGAGATATAAAGGTTATTCAAAAGGTTTCACATGACCTTTTCTGTATGGTCTTAATTATTTTTTATTTTAGTGGACACCTTTAAACTGCTGTGGTCAAATAAAATGTATTTTATTTAATTTTTTCTTGTCCTTTCTGTCATCCTTGTGTCTCCCTCCAGACCTGTTCGATAACTACATGCAGCAGGATGCCCACGAATTCCTCAATTACCTACTGAACACGGTGGCTGACATCCTGCAAGAGGAGAAGAAGCAAGAGAAGCAGAACGGGCGCCTGAAGAACAACGGCACCGCTGTGGCCACCGATAACGAGATGGAGAACAAGACCGAGCCCACGTGGGTTCATGACATCTTCCAAGGCACGCTGACCAATGAGACGCGCTGCCTGAACTGTGAAACGGTGTGTGTGGATTTGGATTACTTTGTTTTTGTTTGGGTGTTGGTGTGTGTGTTCACCACCCTGCACACATCCCAACGTGCTGAGCTGTGTAAAGACAAAATCAGTCAAATCAGCATTTCAAAGGCTGCCAGTGCGGGTGCACAGGTGTGTGTGGGTGTGGGTGTGGGTGAGGGTGTAGGTGTGGGCGAGCGAGAGGTCGTTACATCATTACAACAACATGCTGATCGCCTCTGACTCATATAGGAAATAACTTGGGTTTTCATGGCTGTCTTGCAGGTAAGCAGCAAAGATGAAGATTTTCTGGATCTTTCTGTGGATGTGGAGCAGAATACATCAATAACACACTGTCTCAGGTGGGTTGGGCTTCAGATCACGGCTAAGGAAGCAGACATTCTCTTTGGTCCCAGTGGTTGAGCGTCCTGCAGTACTCTCTCTTTCTCTTCCAGGGACTTTAGCAACACAGAGACATTGTGCAGTGAATACAAATACTACTGTGAAACATGCTGCAGTAAGCAAGAAGCACAGAAACGGTCAGTAAAACAGTTTAACACCAACTCGTTATGTGCTACAAAAATCCGCAAAGACAGTTGTTCCTCTGCAGGATGCGAGTGAAGAAGCTTCCCATGATCCTGGCGCTGCACCTCAAGAGGTTTAAGTACATGGAGCAGCTGCACCGCTACACTAAACTGTCCTACCGGGTGGTTTTCCCTCTAGAACTTCGTCTCTTTAACACGTCAGGGGATGCTGTTAATCTGGACCGCATGTATGATCTGGTAGCAGTGGTGGTTCATTGTGGAAGGTATGATATGCTGATGACTTTAAACCAAATGTGTTGAATAGTTCACAATTGTAGCACAATAACACATGGTTTCAAGCTCAAAATGTGGATATTTATTCCAGATATCTATAAATGTTCCTAGTAGAAATTAACGTTCCAGACATCCATAAAATCATTCTTACTGAATGATCTGAAATGTTCATTCTAGATGGTAAGAGTCATTCAGTTAGGACAATTTTTGACAATATATGTATTGTAGAACATGAAAGTAATTTGTAACTATAACTAATTACTTCTTTAACATAAGATGCCCAACACTGATAATAGTTATTGATGCACAGTTACATATAAAAATAGACAACGGCTGAATTTGAACAGTTGCTGTGTTTAGACTCAGCGTCAGATATTTTATGTTCTAATGACTAATGAGGTTAAATTTGTCATTAGCTTCATTCTCATATTTAAAATCAGAGTAGGATGTCCTCACGGTTGACATCTAAGAAAACCTAACCTCTGTAGGTGTGCTCAGGATTTACTGGTATCAAATGGTTCCTGGTTTTAATAGTTATCTTGGTTACCCTTCACAATAAGAGTGCTGGTCAGACGTCTGTGTTTAACACAAACCTCGTATATCACCTCATATCAAATCTGCTTTCAACTCATTAAACAACAATCTTCATGCTGAGTGCATCATGTTTTGGTTCTGTCCATTATTTGTTCATTTGTCATGCAGCAGGTGCTGAACTCCTAAATGTTTGCCATTAGATGAAATAAGTGGCTGAGTAAAATGATGATAAATACCACTGATGGTATTACCTACAGGGGGAGAGGCAGTAGTGCCACTCTGCTACATACAGCCAGAGAAACAAACCCACTCTGTGGTTAGCTTCTCTTTAAGAGGCTTTTAACCTGCAGGAAAGGTATGAACGAAAACGTAGTAGGCGCGACTTCTTGACATGGTGGTAAAACATTAAAACCTACAACCAGCCCACACCTAGTTTTGATACCACCACACCATCAGGATTTCTGAAGGGTAAACTCCATCCTGCCACTGCTTAGTGTTTAGCACAAAATCCAAAAAAGGTCAAATAAAACTTCAGTGGCTCAAGAAGTAAAAGGACATTTTAGTGTATTGCCTTATGCAGTGAATAACTAGTCCAAATAGGTTTTCTAATCCTCTCAGAGTGTCTCCTTTTGGGCGTATATCCACAAGAGATCACACCAACTCATAACAATGATATAACCACCTACATCTAATGGATTTATTTCAGAATAAACACATTTTAAGGCCTACAAGCCGTCTGAAATGTCGTCAGAAAAGCTGCTTGATTTCAAGCTCCCTTTCATTATTTGACACATAGATTTAACACGCTACTAGGAGAAAGCCTGCATCATCAATCAAGTGTATTCTTGCTTTATTCTCCATAAACAATATTAAAATTTGTGTGTAAATGTATAAAATGTGTATATGTGACATGATTTTTTAGCGTCTTTGGTTATTCAAATTTGTGACGGTTTTTGATGAATGGATGAACAGATGATACTTTTTCTCAGAGGGGCTGACTTGCTGCTACATAAGGCTGTTCTGTTTCCTCAGTGGTCCAAACCGAGGTCATTACATCACCATAGTGAAGAGTCACGGCTTCTGGTTGCTGTTTGATGACGACATCGTGGAGGTAGGTCACGCTGCAGTTGTATCTATCGTATCGTAGTTCGGGTTTTCTCACGAAAGTCTCCTCGTCACCTCTGTTGTGCAGAAAATCGACGCCCAGGCCATTGAGGAGTTTTACGGTCTTACCTCAGACATTTCCAAGAACTCCGAGTCGGGATACATCCTCTTCTACCAGTCCAGAGAGTGACTCTGCTGCTGGTTCAGGCACAGATCCCCCCTTCCTCATCCCTATCCTACTCCTCCAACTTCTCTGACAAATGTGCCATCCCTTCATCCCTGAGCTCATCCTCTGGGTTGTACAAGTGCTTCATCTCTTTATCTGTGAAATCTGACTCTTGTCTTTTAGTCACCTGCATCTGGACTGCACTTTAAAACAAAAAGGCTCAACAGCACGGTGGTAACAGACAAGAAAGCGGTCGGGGAGCCTACAGATCAGAAACTGACGTATCTGTTATCTGTTAGTAAGGTCTTCTTCCTTAATGTGCCACCCTGTTTGAACCCTGTTATTAGGGCTATTTCCACAGCTTTCTTTTGTCTTTGTTTTGTTTCTGTCTCTAAAGGATGCACGAGGCGTGAAGACGAGCACTGTAAAATACACACGCACTACAAAAGGGTTTCAAGCAATATACAGGAGAAGCTACCTGAGCTGTAGTTAGACCCGGTTTGATCAGAAGCTCTAACTAAACACAGGTTTCCCATCAGGATCTTCGAAATATACCCAGCCTTTAAATTTTTATTCAGATGGAAAAAAATGCTATTTATGACACATATTTATTATTGTTGTTTTCCTAATACAGATGGGTAAAATGATGGTGTGTGAAAAGGTGCTCATTGCAGGTGAGACGTCTGCTTAACCTGTCTTGACTGACGTGGAACATAGTGCAATATGTGGTGATCTAAAGTGAGTGGTTTTGGTTTTGGTTGATAGTGATGTACCTTTTGTTGTTCGTTCGAGTCAAAGTAAATCCCCCTCTCTACCCGACACAGCTGGAAGCTTGGCCACATCTCTCTCTTCAGCTGAACACTGTGTTCATGTTTTTTTTATCTTCAAATGACCGCTCACTAGGTTTCTCCTGATTGTTCAAATGTAGCAGTGGAGTCTGGAAACCCTGGACCATGCGATATTGTTTGTACTGTAGGAGGGTTGGTTTGACCGTTCTAGAGTATTTGTTTTTTATGTGACATTCCTGTTTGCTGCGCATCAAACATCACCATTTCAGACACTGTTACGTTGTTTTTTCTGTGCAGAACTGAAGGTGAAAGATTCAGAGATTCTTGTTTGTGACTGAACTGCTGAAGAATTTGTGCCAAAACCAGACTGGACACCTACTTTGCAGCCGTCTTAAACAGATTATTTTCTTTGTAAAGATACAGTTGTACATATAAATTATGTAGAAGAAATAAACACTTGTAGAAATAGGAAAATATTTTTTTAAAGTGAACATCTCAACATACTCATTGCAAAGGCTTCAGCTCAACGCTGTTCTACAATAACAAATACATATTCCATCAGAGAAACATGAAGATGTTTGCATCTGGGCTTTTAGAAAATGTTGACAGAAGCAGACGTGTGAGAGGAAAGGGACTGTTTTTATTACGCCGATCTTCCATTAACTTTATGCACTTATCCTTACTGGGGTGCTTGGTCCTGTGGGGTGTCATACTGGTCAGAGTCCCGCTCCGGCTGGGACAAGATGGAGGAGACAACTGCGTCGCTGATGGTTAATTGTAAGTGCACTTTAATAGTGATGAGCTTTGATGCTTTAACATGACAAACCGCAGTCTAACATGATGTTTCTCTTCTGTTCAATAAAATGAAAACCGACTCTCCAAATGGTTTGGCTTCATTTCTGCTCCCACGTGTCTTTATTTTACGGTTCTTCCAGCAGTTTAGACATGTTTGAGTCACATGATCCATTTGTTCCAGATTAATACTGGCTGGATTTTCCTGAGCTAAATACTTGGAAGCACACAGACCGTCATAGCAGGAGTTGTTTTACTGATTTTGTCTCTAAAAGCAGGTTTGTTCTGAAACTTATTTTCAGCATGAAATTAACACTTCTGCTGCTGGTAAACCATCATCAAATACTATAATGCCAAATGGATGTCATTTAAACATTTGATCTAGGTTTGGAGTTCTACCTCTTTAACAGGGTTAGTACTTTCCCCAGAAAATTAACCGTATTTGAATATAAATGCTTTGTTGTTGCAGGTGGCAAGTAGCCTGGCAAGCCAGACTAAATAAATGTGTTATTTCATTCTTTGCAAAGCAAGAATTTGGTCTAGTTCACTAGGCTAGGTCGCAAGAGCAAATTTGAGTTATTTTGTTGTGTTACTTAATATAATAATATAAAAAGTCATAATTGTTACAATAATTATTGTAAACATCTGATGTGTTTATTCAATTTAAAAGGCTTTATTTGTTTACTTATAATTTAGGAGGATAAAATCATTTGAGACGAATCATCTCGTTTTTGAGTGGGTCCTCCCACAATAGAGGGGTAACAGAGGAGATTCTCAGGAAGTGCCGCCAACGGCTACATCTCCTTAGGAAACTGAACTCCTTTGGAGTCAGCTCCTCAGTCATGGCTTTTTACTGTGCCTTCCTGGAAAGCATCACGACCTTCTCCATCACTTGCTGGTTCTACTCCCTTAGCCTCCAGAACAGGAACAGACTGCAGCACACTGCATCAGTGTGCTCCAAAATCGTTGGCCTGCCTGTCAGAACTCTTGCTCAGGTTTTCTATCAGCAAGCGCTGAGACAGGCAGCCAAAATCCTCCACAACCCCTCTCACATGCTTCACCCCGCATTTCAATGGCTCCCCTCTGGGCGACGCCTACGCTGCACTTCCTGCAAGACTGAGAGGAGGGCCACCTTTGTCCCCAAAGCCATTCTGCTCATTACCCTCTCCTTGGGCTCTCCATATATTTAACTTTTATACAGACGACACTTTATTCACTTACTCAGTGATTTTTGCATATTTTACGGTTTTATCCATCTTCTTGCTGCTTTATTACTTCCTTATTGCCTATTTATTCAATGTTCGTATGTCCAACATCATGCTGCTCTGCTGTTATTTTTTAATTGCCCCTCGGGGATAAATAAAGTTTTTTTATTCTGATTCTGATAGAGCAAAAGAGCTCTAAAGGGTCAAAGTCTTCCGGCTATGAGCATTAACATGTTCATAAAATAATCTGACATGAACTGAATAAAGCATCCAGGAGAAATTAGGGTAGAAAAATTCATTTAACTCAGGAGGTTGTGCGGGTTGTCCAGTTTGGAAGGTTGTAGGATCAATCCCGGCTCCGGACAGAGAACTCTGCTGTTGTGTCCACGGGCAAGACACCACCTTGCCCGCTGGTGCTGGTCGGAGGGACTGATGGTGTGTGTGTTTGGCAGTCTTGCCTTTGTCAGTGCGCCCCAAGGCAGCTGTGGCTACATCATAGCTCATCACCATCAGTGTGTGTGTGTGTGTGTGTGTGTGTGTGTGTGTGTGTGTGTGTGTGTGTGTGTGTGTGTGTGTGTGTGTGTGTGTGTGTGTGTGTGTGTGCATAGATAAATGATACACTGTAGCGTAAAGCACTTTGGAGTCCTCTGACTCTGAAAGGCGCTATACAAGTGCGAGTCATTTATCATTATCTTTTATGTCAGTAATTGAACATAAAATGTGAAACTAGTTAATGAGATAGACTCATTATAGACAAAACCTTTATTGGTTATAAATGTGATGATTATGGCTTACAGCTTATGAAAACCCCACATTCACTATTCAGACAATCAGAACGTTGTGAAAAGGTTCAATATTCTAGACTCAGTGTCTCACTCTAATCAGCTAATGAGTCCTAAACACCTGGAAAGGGTTCCTGAGCCTTTAGATGGTCTCTCAGTCTAAGATGAATTACTGACATAAATGGATTTTAGCGCCATATTGTCACATTCAGAGTTTCACGTGTATTCAATTCAATTAGAAGTGACGCATCTGTCAAAGGTTAGCTGGCACTTAGTATACATTTGTTAAGTATTCATCTTATTGATTCATCCTGGATTTGGACATCAAGAGAATGATGTTTTACTTTAGTAATTAAAATAAAAATGGTTGTTCACACTAAATGAGCTGTTTATTTTTGCTCACATTTTAGTTGACATAAGTATCTTTTAAGTTGGCCAAATTATCTAGCAAACATAAGTTTAGCTGGTTTCATTTTATACAACACATACATTTTATTATTTTTCCAGTTGAGATTTGAAATGCTGGACGTATCAGAAAGCCTTTGCAGGATCAGGATGGCACATTTGGTCGTTGAACGCAGTGAAGCCCATCAGAATCTACTTAATGTTCTACATGAGTCATTGTTCTTTCCTGTTGCTAGCGCTCCATCATTTTCTTCTCTTCTCGTGGAAAATCAAGGGACACCAGTGAACCACAGACTTTTAATTACACTAAATCAGAGCAATCAACTGCATCATTAAGTCGTCGCATCACCCAGACCCACCACCGTGTAAATTCAGTTAAAAGCCTTCTGTACATCAGATTAACAGATAAATGAGACAGTTACCGGAACCCTAACCCTTTCAAAATAAGACAGGTTCAAATTAAGCTCTGGCGCTAACGACAGTTTATCCTCAATTGAATGCGGTGAAACGACCCACCGCACCTCCACACTGGGAACCTGTTCCTAGCTTCACAGACGACCACGTAAGCAACGTCACTTACGCAGCTGACTTCTCAGACGAATAATTGCGCCCCCAAGGGGTGGCCATGGGGAAATTGCTGACCCCCCCCCCCCCCCCCCCCAGGAAAAACAAGTGTTAATAAATCATGTTGACGTTCACTCAAACCATAAATTGATGTTGTTTATTCAAGACATAATTGTTAACAAAATAAAAATAGTACAATTAATGAGTAAAGAAACAATTAGAATAAAAGAAAAATACATGTTTCTGCTGCTCACCATTTAAAAAATGTTTTTATCTCAATAGTTTTTTTGTGAACACAGCAACAGATGAATTAAGCAAAAATGTTTTTTAATAAAATTTGAAATAACATTTCAAATAACTGAAATGTATTTTTCTGAAATGTTTGTGTTTGTAAATTTTAAGTTAAATGTTTTCGATACGTACTGTTTTGTAATAGAAATTAATAAAGGAGCAATGCAATACATCACCACAGGCTTAATTCCCAGAGTTACCACAAGGACCAATTAAGTGTGCCACCCCAAAATTTTCTTTGGCCTCATCTGGCCACCCCATCAAAATTTTCTAGAGGCGCCCCTGCATACGAAGCCATCTGAGATCTGTGGCGTCGGGACTGCAAGGCAGCAGAGTCCCGAGAACAACATCACCACGGCAACATTTTCAACTTCTGAGATGACCACGTTTCTTTTAGTTATACACATTTAGAAAATCTGTACAATTCCACTATCCAATCGATGTCTGACGTTAAAGCGTGGCCTTATTTTGTTTCCACTAAGTATACAGATGCTGGTCTTAAAATTAGAATATTATGACAGTTTATTTACCAGTAATTCCATTCAAATATTTTAACTTGGATATTAGATTCATTCATTACACACAGACTGATATATTTCAATTATGTCTTTATTTTAATTTTGATGATTATAACTGACAAGTACTAAATATCCCAAATCGAGTACATCAGAAAATTAGAACATCAGTTCAGACCAATGGAAAAAAAGGAATTTTAGAAATGTTGGCCCACTGAAAAGTATGAACATGAGAAGTATGAACATGAAAAGTATGAACATGAAAAGTATGAACATGAGAAGTATGAACATGAAAAGTATGAACATGAAAAGTATGAACATGAGAAGTATGAACATGAAAAGTATGAACATGAAAAGTATGAACATGAGAAGTATGAACATGAGAAGTATGAACATGAAAAGTATGAACATGAGAAGTATGAACATGAGAAGTATGAACATGAAAAGTATGAACATGAGAAGTATGAACATGAAAAGTATGAACATGAGAAGTATGAACATGAAAAGTATGAACATGAGAAGTATGAACATGAAAAGTATGAACATGAGAAGTATGAACATGAAAAGTATGAACATGAGAAGTATGAACATGAAAAGTATGAACATGAAAAGTATGAACATGAGAAGTATGAACATGAAAAGTATGAACATGAGAAGTATGAACATGAAAAGTATGAACATGAAAAGTATGAACATGAAAAGTATGAACATGAGAAGTATGAACATGAGAAGTATGAACATGAAAAGTATGAACATGAAAAGTATGAACATGAGAAGTATGAACATGAAAAGTATGAACATGAGAAGTAAGAACATGAGAAGTATGAACATGAAAAGTATGAACATGAAAAGTATGAACATGAGAAGTATGAACATGAAAAGTATGAACATGAGAAGTATGAACATGAGAAGTATGAACATGGGAAGTATGAACATGAAAAGTATGAACATGAAAAGTATGAACATGAGAAGTATGAACATGAGAAGTATGAACATGAGAAGTATGAACATGAAAAGTATGAACATGAAAAGTATGAACATGAGAAGTATGAACATGAGAAGTATGAACATGAAAAGTATGAACATGAGAAGTATGAACATGAAAAGTATGAACATGAAAAGTATGAACATGAGAAGTATGAACATGAAAAGTATGAACATGAAAAGTATGAACATGAGAAGTATGAACATGAAAAGTATGAACATGAAAAGTATGAACATGAGAAGTATGAACATGAAAAGTATGAACATGAAAAGTATGAACATGAGAAGTATGAACATGAAAAGTATGAACATGAAAAGTATGAACATGAGAAGTATGAACATGAA